TAATGGATCTATAAATTATAAAGTGCTTCTAAAATATGTAGGTTTTGGGTTTTTACACAATTAATTACTAGTATTTCAAAAATTGAAAAAAAATCAAAAAGTAAAACCAATAACTTTTTTGGGATTCTTGTGGACATAATTATTAGTCTTGAAAAAAAACGTGACCATATTAAGAGTGAATAGCCTCAAATTCCCTTAATTTAAAACCAAATTTCATCTAGGGAAGCTTCTCGCTTACCCTCATCTCAGCAAACCTCTCCATCCCATTGACTTGGCTGTTGTAAATCATCTTCGTTAATACTAGTGTTATTTTTTTTTTTCATAAATCTTCTTGTCTTTTTCCCATGAATATTACTAAATTAAATTCAAATGATAAAAATATAACTTATTTTAAAAAATTTCAAAAAAGTGACATATTCAGTGACTAACTCTTAGTGATTCATCATCTACAGTGACTTGTAATTCCGAAATACACTATGGTCTTATCTAGTTACTCGTGAATAGCGACTAGTCATACTTTTGTTCAAAAAACATATCTAGTCATATTTTTATCCAGAAAAACCCTATTAGTAATATACATGTCATTTTTTCAATCTTCTTTGTATTCTTTGTGTAGCCAATTCTCGATCTAGACGACAGTGTCTAGTAGCAGCTTTGGAATAAGCACAGACTGGGGACAACAATAGAACAACAGCTAGCGTGAGGTCCAGTGAGGATGGGGCGACGATAGAGCTACAGGGCAAGAGTTACATTATGGATGGTGCGTAGGGGTGGATTCGGGCCGGGTCGGGCCCGGGCCGGGCCTAGGCCCGGTCGGGCCGCCGGTTCTAGAATAGTGGGCCCGGGACCGGCCCGATGGTTGGACGGGTCCGGGCCGGGCCGGGCCACCCGCCTGGGTCACGGGTCGGGCCACCCGCCGGGCCGGGTCGGGCCGGGTCGGGCCGGGTAATTTTTTATTTTTTTATTTTATACTTTATAGTTTTATACAAGTATTAAAAACAAACTTCAAGTGCATTTATTTGAAATGAAATAGGAACTACATTTGAAAATTAAATAGGAACTATAATTGTTTTTAATCGGAATCTCCGGCATAAGTAGAGCCACCTTCTGTAGATTCATCCATAAAGTGTTGGGATGGAGTGATGTCAATTTCTTGAGCTCTACGTGCTGCTTTCAACCAATCGTGGTAGCATATAAGCATCTCAAGAGATTCAGCGCTCAACCTCGTTCTGGTTTGTGTTAGAACATTGCCGGCCGAACTAAATTCTTGTTCCACGGCAACCGTTGAAACCGGCATTGATAGCACTTGCTTAGCCATCTTTGCTAAAACCGGGAACATTCTTTCTTTTCCCTTCCACCAGTTTAGTACGTCAAAATCATCATCTTCTTCAAAATCAACATCATAAGTTAAATACAAAGAAATCTCATTAATTGTGCTTTGTTGTGTAGCGGGAGTTGATTTTGTTTTTTTAATAAGATTGGCAAACGTAGATTTGAAAATTGATTTTCCTTTAGATGATGTTTGTGTCGGGGGAGGGGGCGCATTGCCATATTGTGCATGAAACTCATTGAATAATGCATAAAATATATCACTAACTTCGTTATATTCTTTTTTCGGATCAATTGGGTTGTCCTTATACATTGGCAATGGACCAAAAAAAGCAGCATAATAATAATTCAAACATTCTTCTAAAGAACCAAGTCTAAAACGAGGATCGAGAACAAATGCAATACCATAAATATGCGGAATATGTGAATAATATTTTAAAAACTTTTCCTTCATAAAACCAGCAAAATAATTCACATAATCAGCATTCTCAAAATTTAAAAAAGCACCGGCGAGATTAACAGCTTCACGAATAAATTGGTTTGAGGTAGGTTTATAAACATGACTAAAAGTTTCAGTTGCATTATTAAAATATATCAAAGCATTACAAATTTTTTCACAGGTGTCGATCTCAGCCGAGTTTATAATATAGTTATCATATTGTTTCATAAAAGCAGGAAAATGTTGTTTATATCTAAGAAGAACTCCAATTAACTTATAGGTACTATTCCAACGAATAGACAAATCTTTTGGAAAAGCCACACATCTCTCACCTCTTTCTATCAAATAATCATGCCATTTTTTCCTAAGGTGTCCATTACCCCAAATACGTCTAATCCCCCCTTGACTACCTCCAACGATGCTCCCAACGCTTTTAGACTATCTTGCACACATAAATTTAGAACATGACATGCACATCGTTGATGAAAAAATCTACCCATCAAAGAAGTAGAACCACACAATTCACGCAATCTAGGAATAGCAGCAATATTATTAGTAGCATTATCAAAACCAATAGCAAACACCTTATCAATTAAATTATACTCAATTAAAATACGTTCAATCAAAATATAAATATGTTCAGCGGTGTGACGATCATTAAATTCACGGAAAGCAAGAACACGTTTATGCATATGCCAATCATTATCAATATAATGTACAGTCAGACCCAAATAATGTAAATTATGATAAGTATCCTCCCATATGTCAGAACATACAGTAACACGTCCATCAAAGTTTGCAAAATAATTTTGTAACCTTACCTTTTCCGCACCATAAAGCCTTGAAATTTCTTTCTTAACCGTTTTGCGACTATAACCTCTATATTGCGGATTTAAACAAGTTTGTGCATAATCACGAAAAGCAAGACTTTCAGAAAACAAATAAGGCAAATTTTCTTCAACAAGTAAGTTAGCCATACCTGTCAAATTTTGTGCATCATTGTATGAGAAATTACCAAAAGCTTGTTGATTATTTGCAAACCTCGATATTTGCGTTTGCTTCCCCGTTCCGCCGCCTAATTTTGCATACTCCACCGGGTGTTTGGACTTAAGGTGTCTTGTGGCGGATCCGTATCCGCCGGAAATCCCCAAGCTATAGTTTTTCTTGCACCAATTGCAAGTTGCGGTCCAATTCCCGGTGTTCGGGTCCTTCCACTTAGAAAAATTATTAGCCATTAATTCAGATTTACTTTTTTTTGTACCTGTTTGGGATGAGGCTGCTTGGTCGGCGTCATGGCTGCCGCCACCCTCCTCGTCTTCGTCGTTGTGGCTCTCCGGAATTGCTTCCTCCACATCGTCGTCCTCGTCCTCGAGCTCTTCTTCGTCAATGGTCCTCGGTTGGTCTTGAAAAAAGCGGGAATTATGTCGGTGCAATTCTTGTTCTAGTTGTTCGTCGGTCATCGCATCCCCATCCCTCCTTACGTAACCCGTATCAAAATCATCTTGACTTTGAGATGAAGAGCCGAGATGTGATTTACCTTTGCGGGATCTCTTCCTCGCAAGCTCGTTCGTTCGGTTGCGCTCGAGGTTACCCATATCAACCGAATATCTAGGACGATCCATCTAAAAAATGTAGCAATTAATAAAAAATTGTAAAAAACTAATTAAGTATTTATGTAACTATTAATTCGAGTTATAGCAATTTAAGTAGTGAATTAACTAGTTTTGTGTACAACATTATTTTTAAACTAGAGTCAAATGTAGCAATTAATAAAAAATTGTAAGAAACTAATTAACTATTTATGTAACTATTAATTTGAGTTATAGCAAATTAAGTAGTGAATTAACTAGTTTTGTGTACAACATATTTTTTAATAAAAAAATCATAATTCCAACTATATTAATAAAAAATCGTAATTCCAACTATATTAATAAAAAATCGTAATTCCAACTATACTAATTAACTAGTAATTAAAGAAGTGTAAATAATAGAATAATTTCGTACCTCTTTCGGACTTTCGGATGGGAGTAATAGAATGACTTCAAATTAATTAGATATAATTCCAACTATATTAATAGATATAATAAATATATAAGTAATATATAATTAGATAACAAATATAAGTAATATAATACTATTTATATCTATTTATAATTTATATAAGTAGATAATTAATATAAACTATAAATAATAAATATAATATATTGGAGAATGGAGAATAAGAGAATTAGAGGGTAGAGAGTTAAGAATAGGATTTAGGAAGAATTGGAGAAGAGATATGAAAAAATGTTTAAGATTAGGAGTATTTATAGGTTTTTTTACCCCCCACCCCCCCCACCACCCAACCCCCCCGGACCCCCCCTATAACCCACCCAACGGCTATATAGCCGTTTGGGTTGTCCCCAGCCCCACCCCCAACGGCTAGTAGGAGCCCAACCCAATTTTTTTTTTTTTTTTAAAATGGATGGACCCGGACCCGGACCCGGGCCCGGGCCCGGGCCCGACCGGGTCACAAAATGCTGAACCGAGCCCGCCCCGCCACTTCCCCCCGGTTCGGGCCCAGACCCGGTCCCGGACCGCCCGACCGGGCCGGTCCCGGGCCCGCACAGTACCGGGCCGGGCCGGGTGGCCCGAACCGAATCCATCCCTAATGGTGCTATGGTTTCACTTGGGCTTGTATCGAGGTAGGGGTGGAGGGTAGTGGCGGAGATGGGACCAGGTTTTCAAGCAGTGGACGTGAAGTCATGGAAGTAGTGCGGTAGTGGCGCAGTGCCGATCAATGGAGGAGAAGTTGCTAGTATAGCCAGGCACTGCCAGGGCCAAGGCTAAAGTACGGTAAGTGGTGGGTAGGTTAATGGGGGGTAGCAGGTTGTGCAAGGGCGGGGCAAGCGCTTCGAGCAGCAGCTAGAAGTGATGGCACCAGTGCAAGGGGTATCGGTTGGAGCAGTGGTGGTGTAACTGCCTATGCTAAGGTCACAGTGGCGGCCGGTCACTGGGCACCCATAGGTCATACAATTTATTTGTGAGTTATGAGTAATTTTAGAACTTATTTAGTCGGTTTTTTAGGAACTCACAAAACGGTCTCATTTTTTTTGTCTAAAACTACTTCCTCTGTCTCTAAATTATCTTCAAACTTTCCTTTTTCGTCCGTCCTAAAATTATCTCCTCTTTCCCCTTTTAGCAAAAAATTTGTGGTTCACAACCATTCTTACACATTCTTACACATTTCTCTCTCCTCTGCACAACTCTCCACCACACAAATCCCACTATCTTAATAAATGTGCCCAGCCCAAAAGGGAGAAAGATTAGGGACGGAGGGAGTAACATTTTAGTGATGTAATAATTTCGTTCTAGTCTAGCTACAATCCAAACAGTGACATACGCAACTCTTGGGGTGGGTTATACTTATAGTAAAGTTATAACACAAATGGAGAGGGAGGGGGGGGGGTATATTTATACCAAGTTACCAACCAACAGTGAGATATGCAGCGACTGCTGTTCAGCCACTGACCATGCTTATACATCTTAAATTAAATTAGCGAGGTGCTTTCTTCTTCCCTGCAATGGCCACCCTCTTCCCCTTCAGAGTACGACAATTGTTCTTTGTGCGTTGTCCTCTACATGGCAAGCCTTTAATATGTCGTATCCCTCTGTAGCACTGAATGTCCTTCAATCTCCTAATTGCAAGAGCGTTGAATCTCCTCTAAAACATTGCATCCCAAAAACCACCATCAAGAGAAAGTAAAAAAAAAAAATCCAATTTCTTTTATTGCTGAGGATATTAATACAGTAATTGAAAGTTCTTTTAGCAAAAACAAAAACAAAAATGATATATTTGACAGCGCATTGACAAGAGCCCATCCACAACCACAACAAGGATGTCTATTGCAGAGTTCATAGTGTACCCTGCCTCCACACATCACTAATGAACAAACTTAGCATTCATACTGAGTTTGTGTACATTCATAATTTAAAGTGATCCCACTAATAATTACACAATCCTTATCAGCATGTACTATTATTCTTTCATTCTATCTTTCTCCATAAACTTGGTGACAACTCAGTTCAGAATTTTAAACTTGAATACAGCTCCACACTGAAACTCAGCCTCTACCATTGTGGATACTCTAGTAGGGGTTATTCCTATAATATTGCTAAAGCATAACTGCTTGATATAAATATGGCAATGTGGTTACTAGTAACTAAAATTACTGTCAAAATACCGAAGTTTTCCTTGAAAATAAAGCTGTGACAAAATGCTGCTAACAAATGGCTAAGGCAAGGCAGCTTGCATATCAAACGCTATACTATTAGTTGTAAAATGGCCAAGACAGCTTGCAAATCAAATTGTAGACACAAACATTCAAATGGATAAAAGTAACAAAATATATGCACAGTCACGTCAATGGGGTGAGGCCAAAAGGTTCCAGAATAAACGATAAAGTCATAAAACATTACATATGCTTACATCATTTGCAGAAACAAGGTCAATTAACGTTAAAGCAAACTATTATGGACAAATTTTGGGATTAAAAAAATCAAAGGCGCAGGGTGAGCGTAGGAATTCAGCCTAATGAAGCCACTGAAAGTGGCTGACTTTGGGAGCAAGTTTCTTTATTTACTTTACTAATTTTAATTCAGTTTTAACCAGTTTCCTAATTCAGTTTTAGCAAGTTTCCAAATTCAGTTTTAACAGCTACCCTAAATAGGACTAAATAGAAACATAATTGCACAAATAGGACTAAAACCTAAATCATTCACAAATAGGACTAAACATTAATTTTCTACCTTTAATACCCCTAATCTAATTAATTAATTACCCCCAAGTTCCCTTGAGGCACCAGTGCAGTCCGTTGGTGGCGGGGCAGTCCGTTGGTGATGGGGCAGTCCGTTTGTGGTGGGGCAGTCTGGCGGTAGCAGGGCAGTCCGGTGGCGGCGACCGGCTGCGGCTGCAGAGCTCCGGCGAGGCTCCCAGCGTGAAACTGGCAGAAAAAATCTGGTAATTTTGCCGGATTCCAGCGGCAGTGGCCAGAAGCTGGCAATGGTGGATGGCAGTGGTGGCTGGGCTGGGCAGTGGGCAGTCCAAAAAGCTACATGGGTATATTTGTCCAAACACTCACGATTAGTCCTATTTAGGGAATTTAAAACAATGTAGTCCTAAGGAATTGTATGTAAAATTGGACTCTAAGGAAGGAGAAAAAGACATCTACAGACTTGCTCGGCTTCGTGACGTAGGACTCAAGATATCGGAAAAGTTAAGTGTGTGAAGCATGTCGATCAAAGGGTACTAATGGAGGATGAGGAAATAAAAGAGAGGTGGAGGTCATACTTTGATACCTTGTTCAATGGGAATAAAGTTCAAGGTATTGATGATCTTACTATACCAGAGTGTATGGTCCATCTCACTAAGATTGTCTCATTCCAAATTTGATAAAGTTTGTGTGGCTCTAAATCATTCTTACTTTATTCTTACTTTATCAATTCAATATTAACCACATAAATCACGTTTTATTGGTTGTGTGTCACTCCCTCTTGTCTCATTGTTAGTGGGATGTATTAGAGTTTAGAGTAGGAAAAGATTGAGACTGAAAAGCTTGATTCATTCCAGAGAATAATATCCTATTTATACAACATTTTAGAGACTAATAAGGTAGGCTACTAATTATAATACTACCTCCATCCCTTAAAACTTTGCCAAAGTTGACCAGTACAGAGAATAATAAAGTAAAAACTGTGTGATTGAGATTTGTGCAGAGGAGAGAGAAATAACAGAAACCACAAAATAATTGATTAAAAGGGAAAGTGGCAAAGTTTTTTGGGTCGTCCCAAAAAGGAAAGATGACAAAGTTTTAAGGGACGGAGGGAGTATTAAATACAAAGATTTGTAACTGATTTAAAATATTAAATACAAATATTTCTAATTTATTGTGTAACTTATGTAACGGTTCTCTGGAGCTGTCTAGACTCTTCTATATGCCCCGCAAGCCAGGTATTCTATCAGTACTGAGAATCCTGAGCTTGTCACGTAGAAAAACAAACTGTTGTCGTGAAAGTGGTTTGGTGAGAATGCCAGCTAGTTGATCATGCGAGGGAATATGAAGGACTCGAAGAAGACCACGTTGCACAAGTTGACGGACAAAATGGAAATCAATGACAACATGCTTCATGCGGGAATGAAATACAGGATTGGCGGAAGAGGTGGTAGCGCCTTTATTATCACATAGAAGAATCGGAGGGGAAGTAGGTGAATGTCGGAGCTCATGAAGAAGTGACTCAATCAGAGGGTTTCAGATGCAGCAGTGGAAAGAGCCCGATACTCTGCTTCGGTAGAGGATTTGGCAATTGTGCGTTGCTTGGATGATTTCCAAGAAATAAGTGACTCTCCGAGAAAAATGGCATAGGCGCTGGTAGAGGAGCGGTCATCAGGATTCCCTACCCAATTTGCATCAGCATAAGCACATAAAGAAAGGGAAGAACTCTGTCGGAAATATAAACCATGAGAGGCAGTTCCTTGAAGATAACGCAAGAGGCGTTTCATGAGTCGACAATGATTCACCATGGGTTTGTGCATAAACTGAGCTAGCTTGTTGATGGCAAAGGCAGTGTCAGGTCTGGTGAGGCTTAAATACTGAAGGAAGCCAATGACCTGTCGATAAAGAGTTGCATCACAAGAACCCAGAGTCAAGGAAGTTGAAGATGCTAGAGGTGTGGATACCAAATTAGCCTCATGCATATTCAACACCTGTAATAAATCTGTAATGTAGTTGTGTTGATCAAGAAAAAGACCATCTTGTGCAGGGGTGACCTGGATGCCCAAGAAATAGTGTAAGGATCCTAAATCCTTAATGGAGAATTTATGTGTCAATAAGTCAATAGTCCGATGAATTAACGCTAGTGTAGAGTCGGTGATAATAATATCATACACATATACTAACACATAGATATAAGAGGGATAAGAAGAGAATATGAAGAGACTAGCATCGAAAACGAATTGAAGAAATCCACTGAGAGACTGGTACCACACTTGAGGAGCTTGTTTAAGCCCGTAGATGGATTTCTTAAGGAAACATACTCTCCCAGAGCCATCATTGAAACCAGGAGGTTGTTTCATGTAAACTTCCTCTTGGAGAGTCCCATGTAGAAATGCATTATTGACATCTAGCTGATTGATCTGTCATCCATGAGAAAGAGCAATGGTTAGAACAACCCGAATAGTAACTCGTTTGATAACTGGGCTAAAGGTCTCAGAGTAATCAATCCCTGGGTGTTGATGAAAGCCCTTAGCCACCAGTCGAGCTTTGAAACGGTTCAAGGATCCATCGGGCTTATATTTTACAGTATATACCCATTTGCAGCCAACAACGTTTTGATCAGGATGAGCAGGTACAAGCTCCCAAGTTCCTTGTTGAACCAAGGGGTCAAATTCCACAGACATAGACTTAGGTACCTGTAAAGCTTGAGAAGCACAAGTAGGAATAATATGATGAGGTAATGATGAGTGGGTAACAACATTAGCTTGCTTACGAGGACGAAGGGTCATTGGGTGGGTGCATTTGGGTGGGGAGGGATGTGGATCATGATGGTGATCCAAGGTCGAGACGGAAGTATTGGGAGTGGGAATAACTATTGAGGTGGTGGTGTTGGATGTAATTGGTAAGGATGGAGTAGTCGTTTTTTGTTTGTTCCGACGGTTGATAGAGTATATCTAGAGAGAAGTGAGAGCTAGAGAGAGAAGTGCAATAATATGCTTCAATAGAATGAATTTGTAACCCCTATAACTACTCCCAAGGGGAGTATTTATAGAGAAAATACGGGCTGGGCTCCCAAGCCTTGGGCTTGGGAGGCCCATTTACAACTGGACCGCTACTGGGCCGAATACAAAGCCACTAATGGGCTGTACGAATGAGTAAGTATAAAATCCGGTTCTGTGAGGTCTTCGTGGCCGACGAGGGCGTGGCCGACGAGGGCACGGCCGACGAGGGCGCGGCCGACGAGGGCACCCGGGTTCCTTGGGCTCAGGACCATAATCCGAGTTGGCCCCTTTTCGGCCGACGGGGGCGTCTTGGCCGACGAGGGCGCCACTCTGTATCTTGTGCTTTCTGTTCTTCCGAGTATGTGGGTCCGGGGGCTCAGACCCATATACTCCATCAGGAGTCCCCCACTCTCTAAGCTGAGACGTAGACGAAGTGAAGGAGAGTAGATTCCCGTGCTTTAGTGCTTTTGGCCGATGCGGGCACTCCCAGGTTGTCAGTTGTTGCGGCGTTGGTGCTGTTTCCCTTTTGGTGGTCTTGTTTTGTGCCTTGGCCGTTACCTGCTCCTCGCTGTGGGCGGGGAGGCCGTTGTTTCCTCGATGTGTTCGTTTGGGGACGATGAGTCTCCTGCTTCGATGGTGGCCGTTGAAGGCACACTTTCCTTTTCATGGACGTTGATGGTTGAAGTTTATGTTTGGGCCGATGAGGCCGTTGAGGTTGATCCTTGCTTTGAGGAAGATGGCGTCCCTTCCTTTGGGTGGCCGATGAGGGTGCTCGCGCACTCCTTTTGGTCGTTGTTGATGTTATGTGCCTCTGGCCGACGAGGTGCCATTGTGATGCGTGGACGATGTGGCCATGCTTTGTGGTTACATTCATGTTCTTTGTATTGTTCCTTTCTGTTTTGTTGAGGCCGATGTGGTCCCCCAGTCCCCCACTGCTTCAGGCCGAAGAG